GCAGGGCAGCAAGTGTTTGTAACAGCATTTTGGGGGCATGGCACAGAACTGCAGCTGGGGCTGCACTCAGGGCAGCTGTCAGAGTGGAGCTCCAGCTTCAGCCTGAGGAGACAATCAAGGGAAAAGGGTTTTCCCCACTAGTGAGGATGACAAAAAAGCCACATATCCACCAGACAACAGGTCTTGTCTTCTTCCAATGGAGGCTCCTGGCCCCAGGCACTAGGCACCAAGCCTAAGGACTCACTCCTGGATTCAATTCCTCCTTCCACCAGTTTTTTAAGATAAATTTCCCCCTCTTCATATCTTTGTAAGAATTTTGGCACCTCCCCAGCACAGAATCACAGAATCATCCTGGTTGGAAAGGACCTTGACCCCAGTGCCCACGTGCCTTTCTTGCAGCTAAGGAGACATGTCCAGTTCCTTGCTGAGTTGCTCCAGCCTCCCCCTCTCCTCTGGAACCCAGTGCCCCTTCCCTTGGCTCTCCTCTGTGCTGTTCCCCACAAACCCACAGGCTGTATTCACCTCCCAAGCCTGTCCTCCCATCCTTCTGACTCCTTCTCCTCACAGTCCCCCCTAGACTGATGAGCTCATTCTCTCTGCCTAGTGGGTTGGACCCTTAAATGGGCCCTGATCCCTGAGCATCCACCGAGCTCTGCCACGATTCTGGAGTGTGCTGCTTTCCATGGGCCAAAGCCCAGGCTCATGCCAGCAATCAGGCAGCCTGAGCAGCAAGGGGATGTTTCTTCAGCCCTGCCCCATCCTGATTTATTTTCTTAGTCCAAACCCAGCCTGCAGGTCCATGGCCCATCTCCAAAGAGCCTGCCAAAGGCAAGCACGGAAGGCAAACCTACTGCTGCTTTGTTGTTTTATTTTCTTTTCTCTGCCTTGTCTGCATCCCTTAAAGCTTCACCCTTCTGCTTCTGTGTCAGCAGTTGTTCCTCAGAGCAAAGCCCTTCCTGTGCCTGTTCCCTGGCATCTCTGCTGTCCCTCTTATTGCACAGTTGAAGTCTGGGGCTGCCATGGAAAACGAGGGGTCACAATATTTTAGCCTATTAGAGCTGCAGCTCCTTCCTTGAGAGAAGAAGACAGCATGTGAAAAAGAATAAGCTGCAGAAATGCTGCTTATCAAGACCACAAGGAAAACACAGACGAAGATTCATGCTTAGGTAGTTTGGAATGAGCTGTGTTTAAAGCAGCTCTGACCACATCCAAGCCTGTCTGGGAGTCCCTCCCAAGCACATTGGGTTTAATTGGTACAGGATGTTCTATCACTCTGTCATTTGAAACAACAAAACCAACCAACAAAAAGCACAAAAGCAACAGCTTTGGAAAGAAAGCACATTGCAAGTTACCAGCAAGACCTTGGGAGGAAAGGGGGGGGGAAGAAAGAAAAATCCCAACCAAACCAAAGCCTGACCCAAGGCATCCTGCTAAACGGCAACGTGCAGCAAGCGAGGAGGCAGTTTGCCAACACAGCATTTCTAATAATGCCATAAATCAAGCAAGCCACGTGAGGGCAGCTCCCCAGAAGTCATTAGAAAAGCCTCCAGTGACATATAACCTTCTCATTAATTATCCATCCATTTGCCTTTCAGAGCCTGTCCTCCCAAACCCCCCTACTCCTGATGGCTGGACCAGGCGCCTTCGGGAGAGTCGCGAGTTTTCTGCCCAGAGCTGAACTTGCAGTAACCAAGTGTTGAAAGCCAAGCAGGATTATCCATCAGCACAGAAAAAGAGCTGTAATTAGAATTAATGGCAGTGGAAGCAAGGAAGGGCTTGCAGAACACAAACAGAGCTCTAAAAGGTAGTAAACATTTTCCTGGTGCCGCAGAGCGGAGCTGACTCCAGCTGGAAGCAGCATCACATTTTTCTCTGGTGGTGGCCACTAAAACCTTCACAGTAATCACTGCTTTGGGGAAATAATTCCCTGCAGAATTCCCTGCATGGTACAGATGCAGAAGACCAGGCTGGAGTTTTACAGCCTTTTCTTCTGACTCTGTGTCAAGCCCAAGTCTTCCACGTGGCCGTTCCCCCAGCAGAAGGGACAGATTTCCTCAGCTGTGGCAACGTCAGACAAAAGTCCATCAAAATCACTGGGCCTTTCCAAAAAATCCCTGCACTGTGCCATAAATGAGCACTGCTGGGCAGGAGCATGGGGGGAGCCAGAGCTTATCTTGTAGAAAGACTTCTTGTAGGGGCCTTTGGACAAGGGCAGGGAGGGATGGGAGCAGCGGGAAGGGTTTCCAGCTGGCAGAGGGAGCTGGAGATGGGATGGGAGGGAGAAATTCTGAGCTGTGAGGGTGGGGAGAGCCTGGCCCAGGTTGCCCAGGGAAGCTGTGGCTGCCCCATCCCTGGCAGTGTTGAAGGGCAGGTTGGATGGGGCTTGGAGCAGCCTGGGCTGCTGGGAGGTGTCCCTGCCCATGCAGGGGGGTTGGGACTGGATGATCTTTAAGGTCCCTTCCAACCCAAACCAGTCTGGGATTCTAGGAGTCTAGGACATTCAATCTTGACATGTGAATGCCTCAAGCCACAGTGAATCCACCACAACCTCTGGCAGAGGCTTCCACTGCTTAATTACTCCCTTTGCCTCAAAAATTAGCATCTTATTTCCACTGGAATAGTTCCTCTAGCTTCAGCATCCAGCTACTGGATCTCATTATGCTTTCAGCTGTTGTTTAAGGAGTCTTCTGATGTCAAGTTCAATCTAAGGACCTTCTGAGGAAATCATATAGGAAATATACAGGGAATGCTGCTCCCAGAGTCCTAGCTTGGACAGACCATAACGACAACCACTCTGAGAAGAAAGTTACACCAAACCAGTGAGTAATCTGACACTAAGACTGGGTGGAAGAGCCCATTTCAAAAAAAAAGAAATTAAAAAATGAGAACCTCAGAATATCAGATTTTCAACATATTTTCCCATTTTTGTAAACTAGACAACTTTTAAAATGGAAATTTGCAATACCATGCACTTTTCTAACCAAAACCAAAAGGCTTTTCAGTTGGAAACGACCTCTCCCCCACTGAAATGAGTTGTTCTGTAAACAGATGCACTAATGATGATTGATTTATTATGGACTCGTGCCTAAATTCTCTCTCCTGCAGTGCTCCCAGCTCCCCACAGGTCCTGGTTGCACAAAGGAAGGAGACTTTGAAACACAGAAGCCCAGAATGATTTGGGTTGGAAGGGACCTAGTTACCTAGTCCCAACCCCCTGCATGGGCAGGGACACCTCCCAGCAGCCCAGGCTGCTCCAAGCCCCATCCAACCTGCCCTTCAACACTGCCAGGGATGGGGCAGCCACAGCTTCCCTGGGCAACCTGGGCCAGGCTCTCACCACCCTCCCAGTAAAGAATTTATTCCTCATATCTCACCTAAATCTTCCCTCTGCCAGCTGGAAACCCTTCCCCCTCATCCCATCCCTCCCTGCCCTTGTCCCAAGCCCCTCCCCAGCTTTCCTGGAGCCCCTTCAGGCCCTGGAAGCTGCTCTAAGGTCTCCCTGGAGCCTTCTCTTCTCCAGGCTGAACACCCCAACTCTCCCAGCCTGTCCCCATAGGAGAGGACCTGAGAGGAGGAATGGAAGACCTATATTCCAGTCCATGATGCATCACACATACTCTGTGTCCTGAGGATGGGGGGAGCACAAAGGCATCACATCTTCACAGCCTTCTGATCCCCTAGAGCAGCTCTAAGGGCATCAATATTTTGCAGACTGTTTTCCTTCTCACTTCAATGGGGAAAACACTTCCCTGGGATGTCAAGCATCTCCTGATGGATATTCTGCAGAAGACCAAGACATCAGCTTCTCCCTTTTGACTGAAAAGCCCATCCCACTGGTTGGGAACCAGCAGAAGCCCTTTCCCACTCCGGGTGGGTGCACACAGCTTTCAAATTAGATGTTTGCTCCTACTCTCCCAGCTACTCTGATCACAAAGCTGGGGCTGTGGTTGAAGCTCTCAGCACCAGATGGGCAATAGGAACACATTTTTTTTAAAAAATCCCATTTTTAATACCAAGAGCAAATGGAAATGCCTTGGGTTCAACCTCAGGTAAGATTCCTCACCTGCAAGCAGGGACATTCAGGCTGCAGGCAGATCCCAAGGCTCCTGCTGAGCCAAGGACCAGCTGCTTAAAAGCAGCAATGGGAAGGACCCTGGAGGTCCCAATGAGCAGGAAGCTGTGGATGAGCTCTTCATGCCAGGCCACAGCAAAAACAAAGGGCATCAGAAGCAGGAAAATAGTGATGTCACCTCTGCATATCCCCTTTAGCATCCCTGTTCCTCACCCTCTGCCTGCTCAGACTGATGGTCCACACACCCTAATGGGATTTCCTCAAGATTTCTCTCCCACCCCCCACAAGCCACCCCTTTGCCCAGGGTGAGGGGGACAAGACACACCCAAAAATCCTCTGCCTGCATGGTGGGACCTCAGGAAGGCACGTGCAGGGGGAAGGTTCTGTGTGCAGCACAAAAGGCAGCAAGGCCCTTATTTTAAACAGGACCTGATGGTGCTCCTGGCACCCAAAGGTGACCAGAAGTGTGGAGGGGTTGTTTTGCCATGGATTTAATCCAGGATGAAATGGGAAGCACTGCCAAAGGGCAGGGTGCAGGGACATCCTTCAGGGCAAACCATCACCAGCCTCATTGCCAGAGCCAGTGCTGGATGAAACGGGAAAGGAACTAAATCTCTGGGAGATGCAGCCCCAGTGACCTCAAAAATCTTGGGGGAGCTGGCCAAGCATATAGAACCAGAAAAAATTCCATGAAACATGGCCTCACTTTTTCAAAATAAGACTAAAAATTCCCCCCACCAAGATGAAATGAAATACAACACCACCGAGCTAGGAAACAGGGAAACATCCCAACTAATCATGAGTGGAAATCAATATTTACAGTTTATGAATTTGTTCTCTTCTCAGTGTTGTTTTTCTACAATCCCACTGGAATGAATGCAAAGCCACTTGCATCTTCAGGGAAACACTGGGCTCTTCTTGGTTGAAAAGTCTTGCTTTCTGCTACTTGACACAAAGGGGGGTCTCCAGGAATGGCTCTGAGCACTGGCTCCATTCTTTCCTCACCTCCGGAATTGTTTCTCCAGCAGGAGAAGTATCCCAGCCCTTCCCGTGGATGTGAGGACAGAGAGATGGGGAGAGCCATGATCTAATCCCATTCTCTGTTTTTTCCCTCCTCGACAGGAACAGCTGAGCATGCACGACCTCATCTGAAAGTGATGATGAGGGCCAGGAGAAATTCCACACCCTGCTTTTCGGCTGCGTGTCGTGGGCACACGAAGCCACCTGCAAAAGGCAGCCACCTTCCCCCACCTGAAGTGATAAATCACCCCCATGCCTTCTCTGCCTCGAAAAAAACCCCAAAACAAAACACCAAAAAGGTTTAAAAAAGAAATAATCAATCATATACAAGAAGCAGAATTTGTTAAGTGCTGGAAAAAGAGAGGTGGGTCATTTTTCTTATCAGTCTGGGAGGAGGGGAAATGGCATCCGAGAGCCAGTGGGAATTATTCCAGCTCTGTAGAAACAGAGGAGGATACAAAACCCCATCCCAAGCCAAACTGGAAGGCCAAGGCTCCATTATTTACTTATTTTGTTTTGCCAGCACGACAAGGAAAAGCCACTCTCCTGAATAATGAGGTGAAAACCCTCCCCCTCCCTGCAGACCTCACCTTGGTAGAATGTGCTCCACGCCTGGGTAACCAGAGGTGGGGCTGCCCAAATGGCTCCAGACTCCTCTGCAGCTTTAAACCATTATAGACCAACGTGGGGTTTGTCACTGATCAGCCCCCTAAAACAGCTGCCTTGCTAATTAGGCTGCATGGCTAATTAGGCTGCATGTGGTGGGGATTTTCCCACCAGCCCTGAGACATCCCCAACATCTCTGAAAACAACCAATTAACCTCAGTATCATTAGGCACAAATTAAAACACGGGTGCAAAGAGGTGAGCACAGAATCACAGAACATGAGGGGTTGGAAGGGACCTCTGAAGATCACTGAGTCCAACCCCCCTGCCAGAGCAGGACCAAAAAAACACAAAAAACTAGGGCAGGTCACTCAGAAAGGCATCCAGGCAGGTCTTGAAAGTCTCCAGAGAAGGAGACTCCACAGCCTCTCTGGGCAGCCTGTCCCAGGGCTCTGTCACCCTCACAGTAGAGAAGTTCTTCCTCATGTTGAGGTGGAACATACTGGGCTCAAGTTTGAGTTCATTACCCCTGGTCCTGACACAGGGCACAATTGACAAGAGCTTGTCCTGCCTTCTTGCTGCCCTCATGTATTTACACACATTCATTAGATCCCCCCTCGGTCTCCTCTCCAGACTAAACAGCACCAGGTCTCTCAGCCTTTCCTCATCAGACAGATGTTCCAGTCCCTTCATCATCCCTGTAGCCTCCCTTGGACTCTCTCCAGTAGATCCCTGTCCCTCTGGAACTGGGGAGCCCAGAACTGGACACAACACCCCAAGTGAGGTCTCACCAGGACCGAGTAGAGGGGGAGGAGACCCTCCCTCAATCTGCTGGACACACTCCTCTTCATGCACCTTGCAGTGAGTCTGCAGCAGATACCAGAAACACAGGCTCTCTTTTTGACCCATCATGACACACCAGGTTGTTCCTCAGGGACCAACATGGCTCTTTGTAGCCACAGGCACTGAGACCAGGTCTGTCACCACAGAGCTTGGTCAACCATGGAGCCCTGGGGGAACACCTGAGACCTTGGTCAGCCCACCCTGTCCCCTCCTGCACCCATCCTACCGGGAAGGCATAGATGAAGATTCCCAGGAAGAGCAGCAGGATGAAGAGCAGGATGGCCAGGATGAGCACCCACTTGTACCGCCGCCACAGGATGTACTTCAGGGTCTTGTAGGGGGAGGTGAACCACAGGAAGGAGGTCTCTGGGCGCCTGGAGCCAAACAAAGGTCAGGTCACTGCTGAGTCTCACAGGACTTTCACCCTCTTGGGTTCCCAACCCCACGAGCACATCCTGCTGCTACAAAGTGGTTGCCCAACCTGCAAACATCCCTCTGGGTGGGCCACGTCAAAGCGACCTCCTTGGTGGTCCAGACCAACCTCCCAGCCACCCTGGACTGTCACAGCTCCTACAGGCTGAGCACCAGCAGCTCAGAAACCCAGCTTCTCAAATTCCTCCTCGAGAACTCTGTGCCCCAGTGGTTATTTTTCCACTCAGGATGCTCTTACTTGGGGTCCTCCAGCCTGGGGTTCATGTTGGGCTCATCCCGCCCCACGCCCGCCGGGCGCTCCTCGTGCTCTTGTTCAGCCACGATTTCCAAAGTCATCTCCAATTTGCCCTGTGTGGGTTAAACCAACACTCACTTACCACAGACTCAATCACAGGATTGTTCTGGTTGGAAAAGACCTTTAAGATCCTCGAGTCCAACCATAACACAACTCTACCAACCTTGCACCCAGTTCTACCAAGTCCAGTGCTTAAGCCACGTCCCTCAGCACCACATTTCTAGGTCTTTTAAACACCCCCAGGGGTGGTGGATTCAACCACCTCCCTGGGCAGCCTGGGCCAGTTTCCAACTTCTCTTTGGGTGAAGGAAACAAAACAAACCAAAAAGGAGAGGTGAGAACTGAATGTACGATGCAAAACACTGACTGGGGAAAGCAAAAGCATCTTGAGCACAACCCAACAGATTTCATGCAGATCTCACACGTGCCCACTACAACTTTCTCCACAGGTATTCCAGAACATCTCAAAGGTCACTGACACCCATGTTTAGGGAACCAACTCAGGGGGATTTTGTTGCATGACTCAGGTCACTGCCTGGACCCCCTCACCTGTCCTGAAAAGCTCCCAAAGACCCCAACAGGAACCCAGACACACTGGAATAGATCTGTCTGAGAGCTGGAGCCTGGCCCTGGTACTTGGCACCACGCAGGATCATTAAGAACAGATGTGACAGAGTCAGGTCAGGGGGCAGGTCCCAAGAACCACAGCAAAAATCCCACAGACCACGGAAATTCTTCCAAGGAATTTGGATGGTGCTGGGCAAGTCCTGGAAAACACCTCTCTGACAGAAGCTGGGCTAGTCTGTACAACCTGCAGCCCAAGGCTGTGTGTCTTGCCCTGACCACACTATCCCATGTGTGCTTGGACCAGCCACATCCTTCCCCAGTGCTCTGAGTCCAGAGAAGGTGTGAAGAGGCCACCTTACCGCCAGGATCTTCTCCTGGTTGTGCTCAGCAACACAGGGCCACCAGCCCTTGACAGTCTTCTGCTCAAAGAGTGACACGAAGCGACTGGAAGACAAGTTCTCATCCAGCAGCTCTAAGGAGCACTTCTCAGCAGTCTTGGCAGGCTTGGGCATCCTGTTGAGATCCATCTGGATGGAGCCTGCAAGGAGGAACCTCATTGGAAAGACATCTTGGTGTAACAGGTCCTTTAAAGTGGATTCTTTCCCTGGAGAAATAGTCACTGTGGCACCTTCCTGACCTGAGGGAGCTGGGACAGACACCCACACAGAAAGGGAGGGAGCAAGGTCAAGTGTAGCCCTATTTTCCAAGCGTGGTGCCAGGTTAAGCCAGCAGCTCTGCCTGGCAAGGGAGCACTTGGCATCACCATTGTGCTGAGAACCATAGAATCATTTGGTTGGAAAATACTTTGAAGATCTTTCAGTCCAACCATTAACCCAGCACTGCCAAGGCCACCATTAAACCATGTCCCTCAGCACCACATCTTCAAGGAAGACCTTCAAGATATTAACTTCACTCAGCTCTAATGTTGGATGATTTTCACTGATGTCAGCCAGGCAGGCTGAGGTTTTTATTAAGGACTAAGAGTTTAGGTGAGACTCCAACTGGGCACCCCCACAGCCCAGTCAGTATGGGAGCTTTGAGCAGGAGGCTTCCAGACCTCCAGATAGGTTGGTTTAGGTACATTTCTCTAGGAAACCTGAGCCCAGTTCTCCAAGTGTTTGTTGAAACTGCCTGTATTTAATGTACATTGCTACACTGATTTACCTTATGGTTGGGAACAGGCAAGGACATACCCAGAGGCTGCTCCTGTGGCTCAGCTGAGGGACAGAAGCTTTTGAGGCTGCAGTGGACAACTCACTTTCAATACTGTGTCTGTATTTGTAGCAGTTCTGTGCCACAAGTTCTTGCAATCAGTGACAGTAACAGCCCAAATCAGATTTGCTGTGAAACCCTTTTGAGGACCATTGATGAGAAGCATTTGCCAAAAGCCAAGGGCCACTTTTTATCTGTTGGGCTTTGCAAAAACAAATAGCAAAATGATAAAATAATAATGTTGGCAGGCAAGAGCTCCTGATGTGCAGAGCCAGGGCTGGAAAACACACCTTGGAGAGGTTCTTTTGGCACTCAGCCCATGTAATGAATCAAAGACAGGGTTTCAAAGTATCTTGATCACATCCTTAGTGAAGCTTTTGATGCTTTACATTTTTTTTAGTGGCAAAAAGGAAAGTAGAGTAAGATCCAAGCAAAAAAAACCCCAATGCTGGAGCCTCCAGCTCCTGCACAGCAGCTGCCTGGCTCTGCTGTCCTTCCTAGCTGGGTTTGGCCTTTTTTGTCTTGGCCTGAACCTCCATCTCTGAGGATGTTTAATGAGGCCAGCACTGAAAAAGGCAAGTGCTGGACCGAGCTGGGGTCATGTCTAAACATCCCAGGTAAGGCAAGTCAGGTCCTGCCTGCTGCTCTCAGCTCAAATACAGGGTAAACCCTGATGAGGACATTTCAGCACAGGCTCAGCTGAGTCATGGAGAATTGAGGCCTTCCAGGAAGGTGGTGGCCTGTTGGATTTGACAATGACCTCAACATGATGTCAGCCCAGGAGCAGGCTGCTGCCAGCTGAGACTGGAAACCTGCCACTGAGCATCAGTCCTGAACTCTCACTGACACTGAATCCTTTTCAGGGGCTTCAGCTGGTCCTGTCACATGTTCTCCACGTCCTGAAAGATACTTTCCTTCCAGCCTCCATCAGCAGGAGGGGAGCCAAAAAGCTCTCCTGACTTACCCAAATAGTCATCGAAAGAGAACTTGTCATTGTCCCAGATCTGGAAGATAAGCTGGGGTGGAATTTTGTTTTCTGTCTTGTCCAAGCTCCAGAAATGCTCCTAAAATCACACCAGAAAAGAAACCAAGGAGAAAGAAAGGGCTTGTTAGCAGAAGTGCATCATAGGGTCAGAGAATAATGGGCTGGAAGGACTTCAAGGACCATTGATGCAACCTTTCTTGGCAAAGCATGGTCTAGACCAGGTGGCTCAGCATCAT